AACTGTGCTTCTTTTACTTGCGTGATATAACTGTGAAATAAGAATCTCCTGCCATTTCTTTAAAAATCAAAACCAAAACGTACTCATTTAATAAATTGAGATACTGAAAATATCAGAAATCAAGAACATAATCTTTCCCTCTCTCTCCAGATTTTGTCATAAAAATTTTCTTCCTCGGTATTTTCACATATTTTTAGTTTCTTTTTTAAAAGAATCAAGCCAATAAGTTTTTTTATTAAAGTGTTCCAAAAGCTCCCCCCCCCTTTTTTTTTTTCTTTTTACAAAATGCCCAAGTCAGTGTTGTCGATTGGGAAAAAAAAAGCTTCAACTAGTTAAAAACAAATGTTGTATTGATCAATAATAATAAAATTATTGTTAATCAATATAGTTTTTACAATTCTATCAAATTTTTCTGTAAAGTAAGTCTTTGCCGAACACGAGAGTTTCATGAATGACACATTGCGCATATGGCAAATCGCTTTCTTTGTAATTAAATATGGGAAAAAAGGGATTGGATACAAATTCAAACTCACGAAGTGTATATAATTTAAACAAACCTTAGTATTATTTAAATTCACAGGGAAAATGGAACAAATGTTATTGAAAGGATTTCTATTACGTCTTAATAAGTAGGAGGTACATGAAAAAATTTTTTTAAATAGCTGTTGATTTTTGCTTGGGACACTGTCTGACAGAAGTCATATAAAGTTTTAAGGTAAGGAATGCAGAGTTTTTCAATCTCTCTCTCTTTTTTCATTTGGAACAATCTTCTTTACAAAATCAGACAGTTCCTGTGCGTTTTTATCTAATATTATTTAGACATTTCCTGCCTTTTTTAATTAATATTAGTTTAACTTTTTGTATGTTAAAGACTGTTTGTCGTCTTCACTATAGCAGCTTTCGCCATCGGCTGGTGTTAAAAGACCAACCAATACTTCATTTGTCATTTCACGGTCGTCATTCTCGGTTAATTATTTGATTTCTCTTTCTGCCATGCAGGTGAATTAGGAAATACTAATTAAACGTTTCTTTCTAGACTAAAGAGAGACTAAAGAGACTTTTTCTAGACTAAAGAGACTTGAGAGAACATTTAAAAATTTTTTATTATACATCTCACAGCGAATAACTACTCAAATAACCCAGAAAAATACCCGTACGTCAAATCAGTATTCCGAAATTTTAAGCTTGTTTACATTAAGTAATTGATAATAATTGAAGTTAATTAGAATGAAATGCAAGTGAAAAAAATTGTAGATGAAATTTTCGTCATTGTTACAGCTAAATACAAAATTAAGCAATTAAATTTTGTATTTTTCAAATTTTATTGACTGTGGAACTGCAGTTTTCTAAGAAATTATTTAAATGATTAAATAGTGCTTAAGAGCACAAAAATAAGGCCATTTCTAGCCAAAAGAAATTTTATGCAAAATGGCGGCTGAAATTTTGGAATGACCTTCTTCCTTATAGTTGAGTAAGGTTATACTGGTGGTAGCAGCCATTTTTGCCTAAAAATCTTCGATAAAATCCTTATTGGTGAGACCATTTTAACTATCAAAACTATACTTCTATTTATGGAGAAATTTCTTGCCAAACTTTGCGCATAAATTTCAGATTTAAGAATACTTATGTTTGGTCTTTGTTAATAGAACAAAAGTATTTGCTATAATGATCAGGATTGCTTCAGTAGTCTTCTGGAATCTATTTTTTGGCGAATGAAAATGTGGAGGTCTCGGAAGAAAATGGTTAAGATGGCCGCGACTATATTAGCAGATTAAAATTTTTAAAACTGAATTCTGGCCAGAGTTAAGGAAATAGAAAAATAGTTATTCAACAGTAAATAATCTTCGTACTACACTCGCTGTTATACGATCATGCTACGTTGGCTTTTATAAGATCATACTTCACAGGATAATTTCTATAGTATGATTAGCGAGTTCACACATTGGCTTATAGCGTCTTTTTTTTAATTAAATAGGTCTATTAGTAAAAGAATCGCTTCCCATGAAATTATGTATACAAGTAAGCTTTACAAGGAGTTTACTGATTACAAAATATCAAATCTCCATATATATGTGTGTGTGTGTATGTTTGTATTCAGTTTAATAAATATTAATGAACATGTGTATTTATTAACCATGGATCTTATTCATTACCATTTTTATCCATCATCTATCGCTTAAGAACTTTACATATGATAAAACGTAGTAATTGTAATGGGTGTATTTATTACTTGTCATGCGAAATCTTCCGATAGTTCCACATAATAATATTTTTTGCACTTATATCCGCAGTATATCACAAAACATATTTATTAAATTACTAATAAAACCGCAGTTGCAGGTTGTATATTTAATCACAAACTGACATAATCACATTCGTTGGCAATCATGGTTTAGAAAATATTGCTTGTCTTTTCAGTATTAATTGTAATAACTTACTTTTTAGTGTTATATAAAAATATTTTTAGAAGATCCAGTTTTTTTTTAAGTAGAAATTTGAAATAAAGCATTTTTTAGTGAGGGAAATTTGTATAAATACCATTGTAGGCAGGAAATAATATTTTGAAAGTTAAATATTTTGTATAATTAGGCAAGGTTATTTTATTCATTAATTTATACTAAAATCTATTCCAAAACCTTTAAATAACCTAACGTGCTTGTTTTGAAAACACTTGCCTATGAATTTGCCAAACTGTGTTGTGAGGGATTACCGATCCTTAATAGTCCCTCCGCTATCTGTCTTCTAACTAAACTGTTTAACATGTTATTTCTCAAATGTTTATTGCAATCCTCAACGCTTTCTAAAGGTTTCTACGAACGTTCGCAAAACAACTAAGCCCCTGCGTTACTATGCCAACGAGGCTGACGTCGTGTATCAGTAACCTTGAAATTACGGAGACTGTTGGAGTGTTGTCTGCTTTTAGCGCTTATGTACAGGTAAAACCGTGATCCTTAGAATACCATATTGTTCGGAATCTGTGGTATTATAGTTTTCTTACTATGGGAACTCAGCGTTAAAAAAAAAAAAAAAAAAGTCTTCAGTGAGTAACCAACTTGTTGACCGTAGAAACAACATGCTACATAACAATTCCTTCTTTTCTATCATTTGGCATAATTTTTCCACGGGACAAATTGTGAAATTTATTTTAACTAAAGCAAATTCCTTCAAAATCTAAATATTTCCTACCTTTCGAAGTAAACATAGACTAATTTCGTAAAATATTTTTGAAATTTTTGAGTAATGATACGTCTCTTTTCAGATTTAATAATTGATCTTATAAAACATTTAAACATGTCTGTAATATTTTTTGAAGGATATCATAAGGCCTTTTTTCGTTTCCTTCTGTCATTTAGCTGTTAACTGAAACAAATTTAAGACAACTTAAAATTAAAGGCGAAATTAATTGAATGTTTGATAATGTTAAATATGCAAAGATAAAACTGAAGCAAAACTAATTGCTCAAGTCTAATTAATAATGATAATAATAACAGCAGTAATAGTAATTGAAAAATAATAAAAGAGCTCCTGCATAAACTGCAGATTACATTACAGAGAAACTGTCTTTTATGTAATGTAATTTATCAAAGTTCCATTTCTATTAATGTATATGTTTTGTGTATGAACATTGAAATTTCAGCACCTAGAAGAAAAGCAGCGTTTTTTGTTCGGCTTACCTGTAAACAGCTTACAGCTCTATTTTATTGCATTTATTTGTGATATAATATATTAACACAAGTCGTGCAACAAAAGTCTGACTGTGCATATCTTACCATTACTAGAGATGGAATGGTTGTAAATTAATGTTCAAGTAATCACGAAAAATGGATTTTTTCATGGCTGTGAATGGCCGATATACTGTGTGTTGTTTAATTAAAATTTACTTACAATATTAATAATAATTCTTTGGGAAAACATTTATTATAGTTCCTGTTTTGAGGACCGTGCTATTAGTATTTCAGGTAAACGTTACACAAAGCTAAGATATCATGAATTTCAAAGTTAGTTTAACGGTCTATGATCTTAGCATTTTTTCTGTATAGGCCTTTGCTGTTTCGTCTTTATCACCTTTACTTTCTTTATGCTCCTGTATAGACTCCTCTTGATCTTAAAAAAAAGAGGATATGGCGAATAATGACTGTAGAGCTTTTGATACCGAGTGTCTGCTTTTACTATTTTTTAACCATCTTCGTATGCTAGTATCTGTTTCATGTTAAGTAAACGATGTATGTAATTTTCACTTGTTTTAATTGGATTTGGAGAAATATCTTACCATGTTTAGAGATTTAAAACCATTTCATGTATCTGTTTTAATTTTTAAATGCTTTTCTGATTACTTATTTTTTGAAAGCTATTAGCCTATCTATTAGTATTTTTGGAGACATTGAAACTCTTCCGGAATTGGTTACAAAGTTCGCACATTATACATACTTGCTGAAAATTTTAGTCTTAGACTTTAAACATCCATGTAAATCTTAACAGCAATTTATGCTAATATTGATTCAGTATTTAATCGATTTGCATATACAGACATGATATATTCTTGCCTACGTACTTAGTTTGAAGGACTGGTAATTTCTTGCTGCAGTCTTATTGTTTTGTACTGAATTTAAGTGAAATTATTTCTTCAGTTCTTCATTTTCAGCTAAATATTATCATTAGTGTAACATGCAGAGTCTTTACGCCTTCAGAAGGTAGCAAACGAAGGAGGGAGGGGCAATTGGCATTTGAACGTTTTATGTTCTGCCATTAATATTTCGTGGTGACTCAAGAATTAAGCCATTGAGACGTTAAAAGTCGTTAATTTGTGAATTGTCAGTCATTTTAACACTCATTTAAGAGCTTTTAGTGTTCAATTTTTTCATCAGTCTAATATTTTATTGACCTAACATTCCGATTTACTCAGATGCGTTTTAAAAATAATGCTATTTTTATTATGCTTTTTTAACTTAGCCGTTATTAGAAAACGCTAAATTTTTTTTTTATTTTCCTTACTCTTATAGCTTTGCATGATTTTGGAATTGGTGCGGAAACCTTTTTGCATGGCGATGGATTTAAGGCTGTGGGCTTTGTACACAATATTCTCTCGTATCTCCGTTCCAGAGATGCATTGTACATAGTCCGCACATGCGCGTTTGTAAATGCACCCTTCTGGAACATAGATATGGGCAGAAAACTTCTTCTCTTCTCTACATCTTTTGCATGCATCTTCATAATCTATTGTTCATTTGGTGTAAATTTTTCTTTATATTTTGATTTTATTTATTTTGTGCATACATTGTTTAATGCTTATTTATATTATATTTTGATTATTGTAAATAAACTGAGAATTTCGTTATGGTAACTTGAATTTTATTTCTTACTTCTACGATTTTATACAAAAATACATGGAACGAAATTCAAAATTAATTGCGTAGGGGATTTGATTCATTTAAAAGTACAAAAACTGATCAAATTATTTCTATTTGAAGGCTAGGCTATTCTATATATTAACTGGTATGTAAAAAACAGTTTAAAAAATATTACTCTCTGGAAGCCTCAGATTAAAGTCTATAACCAAAAAGGTATTTCAAACATATTTCAAAACTATATAAAGTTTTGAAATTTTTTTGAAATTTTTATAAAAAATTTCAAAACTCAAAAATGCTTTCATTTTTTACCCAAAATATATTTTGAAAGTAAAATATCATTAAAAACTGATACCTGATTTTCATATTCCGATTCCAATTTAACTCCTAAAATAAGCCAATTGCGATAGTGAAAACAGTAACACTCTTTTTGAGGTGTTGAATCAACACTATAAGCTGATAGTGCTGTTCATTGAACGCATCTGTTAGAACCGATGCCATTATTAGTATGTGTACCTAGTATTCTACATTGGCCTCTCAGTATAACGGATATCCAATTCGGCACGTTAGGTTAGTGCCTTTTTATCTGGTTATCCTAGAAGTGGCGCACGACTTTCCTGCTGTCAAATGAAACTTTTTTGTGCTATTATACTAACCCTGATATAAACACACAAATTCTTAATTATACAGGATCTGTACAGAATCCCTGAACAACTTGGAACTGTTTAGGAATGGAACAATTTTTACTTTTGATGCTAGTCATACTTTCACAAGCAAGTTTCAAACTTCCTTCTTATGACATCAGGATTTTCGGATCCGCACACCCTCACATTGTGTGTATATTCCAAAACTGATTTTTAGGAAAAATTTTTATACATGTCAAAGATTCTTTGGTCAAACATCACAATTGTATATTTATCATATATTTGCTTCATAATTTATCAATTATAAATAAATATATAATCATACATTTGTGTCATATAGTTTCATGCACAAACAACACAAAATTTACAGCAGCTCTACCTCTTACAGTGTGCCCACAGTAGCAGGGTGTATTGACACCCTATATATTGGTGTTAGATATATAGATTTAACTTAACTATCATTAATCACAAATAATTACTTATTACGAAATGTTAAGTGAACTTTCGTAAAATGGTATTTTAAAAATGTGAGACATAGAATTTGTATATTCGGCTATCTAGAAGTTTATAATTAGTTCCCATCCGCTGTTAGTAGATTGAGGTTAATTAATTAAGCGCAATCTTCCCGCGTTCTGTAACCCTTAAAAACATGGCAAAAACTAATCAGTCTTGACTGTTAAGAAGGTCATTTTTTTTACTATTTTTATTGTAGAAGGTGTGAAATATTTTACAGCTGTTCCAGAAACTGTACATTAATTATTACAGCTAAATTTCGGGGTACCTTAATGTGACGAGCTAAATTTTACAAGCATCGTATTGTAATGAATGCATAAGAGTTCAAAAAATAATTGTAAATGGAATATAGCTTCTTTCTCTGAATAATTTATTTTCCCCCTACTTGCTTCGAAGAAGCTTATTGCTTAGTTCCCTTTCTCCAGGCACAGTTTTAACTCTAATGTCGTACAGTAATTGTAGGTAGAGGAAACTTACAATTGCTTTTTCTAATCTTATCCTTAGAATTTTTTGTCTTATTCAATTAAGTCAAAGAATCTTGTCTCAGATCTCTGCTGTATTTTTGCTCTTCGTAAAGGATGGAATGTACAAGAACGATTCTTTTACCTCGTCTAAAATTTAAAATGACTGCCAATCTTACTTAAAGAAGTAAAACATAATTAAGTTTAACTTTCATTTTTTTAATCACTGTCTATGTCTTTCATGAATTTTAAAACTTACAAGGTAAAATTCAGTTTCCGTTAACATTTTAAAATTAATATGGAATTTGCATTTTATACAAATACGCATAATCTAGTTAATCCTCCAGTGATACAGTTTGTCACATAACTCAAGCGTTTCGAGGGAACCGTCTTCTATTATTGAGATTGACATTTGGATAAAATACATTTGGGAGTAACCAAACAATTTCGCGGCTAAACACATTGAGTTTCCTTGGCTAATCGATGATAACGGACAGACGTGCAGTATAAAATAATAAACAATATTAGCTATTAAAATTGTGCTTATGTCAGGTTGATCTATAAAAATGCTATCGACTACAATTTAAAGCTATCACTATCGACCTGTGTTTTAAGGTGCAACTATTCAGGAGAATTTCTGTTGTAGATATTCTGTGTATATGATTCTATTTTATGGTCTGGAAATTCTCTTAAGAAATGGCAAAACTAGTTAGAATGCCCATCTTTGTTACTCACTTTTCTTAAACATCGCACGAAGTTTTCATTCCAGTTATTTCTGAAATGCAGAATACCTTTAGCTGTAATTTTTGTTTAATTGAGGTGTTATTTCTATGTATCGTTGCGCACTGACTCAACTAGCAATCTGAAGGTCTCTGGTTCGATTTTTCGCAAAGGCATTGTTGATCTTTTAAGAACCCTTATTCGCCGTTCCCGAGGAAAAAAAGCTCCTTTAATACCTCTGTAGAGTCATTGGGTTAATTTGAAGCAGGAAAACGTGACAAGTGTGCAGTGTCACCTCTCGAATACAACTTCGAGTGTGCTAATTGTTACACCACGAAGGCATGCAGAAAGCAGGTAAAAAATACTTTATACCGTGATTTAGTCTACTGCATTTCGTCCTCTCTCCCCACTTAACGTGTAAACGTGGAGGGTGATACACAAGGAAACTAAGGTATTTCTGTCATGTACATTTTGGTGTAGTAATTAGCACAAACAAATAGCAGTTTGAAAGGATCCGAATCCTGGTGATGGCACGGTTAATTTTCCTAGATTCCTATTGTAATGACTTTCTATTAAATATATTTAATAGTGATAATTTAGGATTTAAAACAATTAAATTATCTTGGACTTCGATGAATGTGCAGTAGCTGAGTCTTTAAAACCATAAAACATTTGTTGTTTATCCCTTGATCAAGTTGAACAGGCTAACTGCGTGCGGTTTTCCTATTATGAAATAAGAGCCAGTATTCCTTAGAATGTTCTCCACACAGGCATCCTGTTTCATAAGAAAGTAATTTAGCGTTCTTTTCAATAATTAGGTATTCCACCCATTTGATGACCATGAAAAGTCCAAATAAAAAAAATATGTTTTCTAATTAAAGTAATAATCAAATAATTATTTCAAATCATTTTAGTCGGAAAGAAAAGTTAAATTAGTTGTAGAAGCTTTGTTAATTTGCCCTTAAAAACTACTGCCAAATTTCAAAATTTTCTAGTTTGACCTGTATTTTTAAAACTACCCTAAAAAGAATTGTAAATTTCTCTAGAATTCATATCTCTTGTCGGACCTTTAAAGCAGAGAATTAATTGTTAGCTTTACCAATAGAAACGAAAATAATTTGAAAGCTTGTAGCGTCTGTCTTTTAAGTACTTTTTTAAATGGAAGTAATTTTAATTGCTTATTTCAGTAGTTTTCAAATTAAGATCGTGAAATTTTACTGCAGCTCGTAAAGTATATTTGCTGTATCTCTAGTCAGATACTTTCAGTGTACATACCAGCAGCAAGAAATAATAAAAACTTCATAAGTACATGCCAGTCTTCAGTTCTGAATTAATTATATCTTATTTTTTGTGATAATTTTGAAAGATATACGGAATAAAACTGGCAAAAGTATTAGAAATTCTTTAATACGGGTTAATCTGACGCTTACATTCATGGAATTATTCATTTTTAGAAATTTATATGCTACAGCAATTAAAAAAAAAAGAAAGATAGCTAAATAAAATTTAGTTTTTAGCACCTCATTCCGGCTTAAAATTTTTTTAACATTTGACATGCTGCTGTCGAACGAAATCTTTTATTATTAAAATTAACATGAAATTTTGTATTTTATCAATAGTTTAACTGCCAATATTCAGCAGTCTTAAACACTCGGTAAGTCGTGGAGCTAGTAATATGTGGGTTTAAAAGAAGAATTTTTTTAAGGACATTTAAGAGAAATTTTCTGTTATTTATTTTAAGCATGGAAAAACCGTGGATTCAGCTCTCTTATTTGGACTGGAAAGCGGGTCGGACTAGCACTGCTCAAGTGGTCTTATTCTCTCGGCTACACCAAGATTTCAAGAAAAGTAATAAACATTCAAATAATCGATAATTTAATGTTTAACAGGGTAGAATGAAACAGCTTGCCCTATTTATCTATGGCAATTATATCATAAAATCTGTACTGAGCATTTATGATTTATGAACAAGACATATTGAAACTCATGAAAGAATATTTATTTTATGATATTACAAAATTTTTCAGTTATATACACCTATAAATAATTTAAGCATAGTTCTTGAAGCATAATAGTATTACTATTTGTGAGGATTAGCATGACAGTTTAAGGGATTCTTAAGCTAACTTATTGGTATATTAATAAAAAGTATCATAAAATAATGTATAGAGAGAAATAAAATATATGTTATTGAATGAATCCATTGAAATATAGTTGTGTCGACGTATAAATGCAGTATGCGGGTGGTTACATAAATAATACGTAATGAGTAGTACATGAATGAATGTGAAGATAAAATATCGAATTTATATATGTTCGATGTGACTTCTTTAAGTTATGAATACATTATATGATGATACTAAAAGTGATATGAACTCCTACCGTATACATTCAAGTATGTCAACACTAACTGTGCTTCTAAAGCAGCAGAAATAAAACTTTTCAAATTCTTAACTTGTGGGCTTAGGTGACACAAATACATGATCTTCCATGTACCCCCCATGAAAAAAACTAGGAGATTAATATATGGCCACTTAAGGAGCCAGTTACTTAAAACAAAATCCTGTCTATCATGCTTGATTGACATCGCGCAAATGAAAAAAAGCCTTCCTATTCTCCAAAATGAACTTAGAATAAACTAACGTCTTATAATATTTT